ACCCTGGAATAAATCTCACTTGATCATGGCATATTATCCTTTTAATGTATTGTTGGAACCAGTTTGCTAAAATTTTGTTAAGAATTTTGTCTCTGTTTTCATCAGTGATGCTGGTCTGTAGTTTTCTCTTTTGTATGGTAACTTTGTGTAGTTTTGGTATCAGGGTAATGCTAGTCTCATAGAATGAGTTTGAAAGTGCTCCTTCCTTTGCAATTTTTGGGAATAGTTTAAAAGGATAGGTGTTAACTCTTCCCTAAATGTTTGGTATAATTCACCTGTGAAGCTGTCTGACTGTGAACTTTTGCTTGTTGAGAGGTTTTAAATTACTGATCCAATTTCATTACTGGTGTCAGTCCATATTTTATATTTCTTCCTGGTTCCCTTTCTTCTAGGCTGTCCATTTTATTGGTGTACATTTGTTGATAATAGTATTTTATGATCCTTTGTATTTCTGTGGTGTTGATTGTAACCCCACCTTTCTCATTTCTGATTTTATTGATTTGAATCCTTGCCTTTTTTCCTGATGAATCTGGCTAAAGGTTTATCAATTTTATTTATTTTTTCAAAGAACCAATTTTAATTTCATTGTTCTTTTCATTGTTTTCTTCGTCTCTATTTCATTTCTGCTCTTATCTTTATGATTTGTTTCCTTCTACTAACTTTGAGTTTTATTTGTTTTTCTTTCTCTGGCTCCTTTAAGTGCTATGTTAGGTTGTTCAAGACTTTTCTCATGTCCTGAGATAAGTGTGTATTGCTTTAAACATCCCTACTAGAATTGCTTTTGCAACTTCCCATAGGTTTTGGATCACAGTGTTTTGGTTTTCATTTATCTATAGGCATTTTCCAATTTCCCTTTTATTTCTTCAGTGATCCATTGGTTATTTAGTAGTATATTGTTTAGCCTCCAAGTATTTGTGTTCTTTTTGCAATTTTTTCTTATAGTAGATTTCTAGTCTCATAATACTGTGGTTAGAAAAGATGATTAATGTGATTTAAGTTTTCTTAAATTTACCAAGGCTTGTTTTGTGGCTTAGCATGTGATCTATCCTGAAGAATGTTCCATGTGTACTTGAAAGTAATGTGTATTCTGCTGCTTTCAGATATACAAGAATATACAGTGGGGAAAGACAGTCTATTCAATAAGTGCTGCTGGTAAAACTGGACAGCTACATGTAAAATAATGTAATTAGAATATTCTCCAATATCATATATAAAAATAAACTCAAAGTGGGTTAAATACCTAAATATAAGACTGGATTCTATAAAACTTCTAGAGGAAAATGTAGGTAGAGCACTCTTTGACATAAATGGTAGCAATTTTTTTTGATCCATCTCCTAAAGGAAATCAAAACAAAAATAAATAAATTGGACATAATTAGTCTAAAAGGTTTTTCACAGCAAAGGAAACAATAAAATGAAAAGACAACCTCCAGAGTGGGAGGAAATATTTGCAAATGATACCACCAGAAGGGGATTGATAGCCAACATATGTAAACAACTCATACAACTTAACATCAAAAAGAAACAACCCAATTAAAAATGGGCAGAAGACCTGAATAGATAGTTTTTCAAAGAGGAAATGCAGATGGCCAACAGGCACATGAAAGGATGATAAACATTGCTATCATTAGGGAAATGCAAGTCAAAACCACGATGAGGTATCACCTCACCGTGTCAGAATGGCTGCCATCAAAAGGAACACAAATAACCAATGTTGTCAAGAATGTGAAGAAACATGAACCCTTGTACACTGTTGGTGGGAATGTAAATTGGTACAGCCATGGTGGAAAACAATACAGAGGTTTCTCAAAAACCTAAAAGTAAAACGACCATATGTCCCAGCAATTCCACTCCTGGTATATATGTAAAAACAACCCCCTAATTTGTTTTTTTTTTCCATTTATTTTTATTAGTTGGAGGCTAATTACTTTACAACATTGCAGTGGTTTTTGTCATACATTGAAATGAATTAGCCATGGATTTACATGTATTCCCCATCCTGGTCCCCCCTCCCACCTCCCTCTCCACCCGATCCCTCTGGGTCTTCCCAGTGCACCAGGCCCTAGCACTTGTCTCATGCATCCAACCTGGGCTGGTGATCTGTTTCACCCTAGATAATATACATGTTTCGATGCTGTTCTCTTGAAACATCCCACCCTCGCCTTCTCCCAGAGTCCACAAGTCTGTTCTATACATCTGAGTCTCTTTTTCTGTTTTGCATATAGGGTTATCGTTACCATCTTTCTAAATTCCATATATATGTGTTAGTATACTGTAATGGTCTTTATCTTTCTGGCTTACTTTGCTCTGTATAATGGGCTCCAGTTTCATCCATCTCATTAGAACTGATTCAAATGAATTCTTTTTAATGGCTGAGTAATATTCCATGGTGTATATGTACCACAGCTTCCTCATCCATTTGTCTGCTGATGCAACCCCCTAATTTGGAAACATACATGCACAGTGTTCATAGCAGCATTATTTACAATAGCCAAGATATGGAAGCAACTTGTGTTTATAAACAGATGAGTAGATTAAAAAGATGTGGTTTATACACACACATTCACACACTGTAGAAAACAGCACTGCACTCAGTTGCTCGGCCATGTCCAGCTTTGTGACCCCATGGACAGCAGTCCACCAGGCTCCTCTGTCCGTGGGATTCTCTAGGCAAGAATCCTGGAAAGGGGTGCCATGCCCTCCTCCAGGGCATCTTCCCAACCCAGGGATCGAACCCAGGTCTCCCTCATTGCAGGCAGATTCTTTACCATCTGAGCCACCAGGGAAGCCCAAGAATACTGGAGTGGGTAGATTATCACTTCTCCAGGGGATCTTCCCGACCCAGGAATCAAACTGGGCTCTCCTGCATTGCAGGCAGATTCTCTACCAGCTGAGCTACCAGGGAAGCCCTGTAGAAAACTACTCAGCCATAGGGGAAAAAAAATCAATATTTTGCCACTTGCAGCAACATGGATACAGGTTGAGGGCTTTGTGCTCAGTGAAATAAGTCACAAAATGAAAGACAAATACTGTATGATATATTCCCTGGAAGGACTGATGCTGAAGCTGAAGCTCCAATCCTTTGGCCACCTGATGCGAAGAGCTGACTCATTGGAAAAGACCCTGATGCTGGGAAAGATTGAAGGCAGGAGGAGAAAGGGATGACAGAGGATGAGATGGTTGGATGGCATCACCGACTTAATGGATATGGGTTTGAGCAAACTCCGGGAGATGGTAAAGGACAGGGAAGCCTGGTACACTGCTGTCCACGGGGTCAAAAAGAGTCAGACATGACTGAGCAACTAAACACCACCAACCACCACCAACAGGTATGTGAAAATACAGCTGTTCAATATCACTAACCATTACTGACATGCAAATCAAAACCACCATGAGGTAATATGCTTTACCTATTAGAATGGCTATTATCAAAAAGACAAGTATTAGCTAGAACGTGGGGAAAGAGGGAACCTGTGTGCATTGTTGGTGGGAATGTAAATCAGTGCAGTCAGTATGGAAGACACTAGGGGTGTTCTTGAAAAATTAAAAGCAGAACGATCACACGATCCAGCAATTTCATTTGTGGATATTTACCCAAAGAAATTAAAACACTAACTTGAGAAGGTGTGTTGTATCCCATGTTCATTGCAACATCATCCACAATAGAAAAGATACAGAAAAAACTTAGGAAGAATCGGTAAAGAAATTGTGGTTCATATGCAGAACGGAATATTACTCAACCATTAAAAGGAAAGGAATACTGCCAGATGAGACATGGATGATGCTAGCAGACATGTGAAATAAGTTGCACAAAGAAAGACAGTTACTCTCACTTGTTGTCACTTGTATGTAGAATATCTTAAAAGGTGGTGGAGGGGGGACTTCCCTGGTGGTCCAGTGGCTAAGACTTCATGCTCCCAGGGCAGGGAGCCTGGGTTCCATCCCTGGTCAGGGAAGCCACAACTAAAGATCCCACATGCCACAACTAAGACCCTGCACAGCCAAATAAATACATTTTTTAAAGGTTACCTTTGGAACCAATTTTTTTTCTTTTCCTTTCTCTTGCTCCAGACGTTCATTAAGTACATAAAGGTTAGCAACCTTCTCTTTTGCAATATTGAATAATAGGGCATGGCATATGACTGCACTGTGAAAAGCAAAACTAACATGCTTTAAGCAACTTTTCATATTTGTAAATTATATTGGTTAATTAAAGAAGAGAAAGCAATGTACTGTGATGGAGAACATTATAGTATTCTTATTTCTTTGCAGAAACCAAAGCAGTGATTTACATTTATATTTTTACCATCACAACTAGAAAGTATAGTGTAACTGTAATGAAATAAATTAACCTTAAAAAAAATGTTACGCCCATAGAAACTGAGAGTAGAAGAGCAGCTGCCAGGACCCTACAAGTGAAGAGGGTGACTAAAGGTACAAATTTCCAGTTTTAACATAAGTTATGGGATCTGATGTACAGTGTGGTGACTATAACTAAGTGTGAGTTGCTCAGTCATGTCTGACTCTTTGCGACCCCACGGGCTGTAGCCTGCCAGGCTCCTCTGTCCATGAGATTCTCCAGGCAAGAATACTGAGTAGGTTGCCAGACCCTCTTCCAGAGGATCTTTCTGACCCAGAGATTGAACCTGGGTCTCCAGCCTCACAGGCAGATTCTTTACCGTCTGAGCAGTAGCTATAGTTAACCATAATGTTCTGTATGCTTGAAAGCTGCTAAGAGAGTAGGTCTTCTGCAGCCTCATCACACAGGAAAAAGGTAACTCTGTCAGATGATGGATGTATTAATTAACTTGATTATGGTTATTATTTTATAACACACAGGTACACCAAAACCATCACACTCTACACTTAGAATGTATAGCCTTGTCAGTTACACCTCAATAGAGCTGGGGGTGGGGGGCGGAGAAGAAAAAAAATCCTAACCTAATAACAAATGCTCAGAATCACGCTGCAGGTAAGTGTGCTCTGACAGTTAGCAATACCTGGTTGAGCTTGACTTTGCTCTTTGCTGGGGAAGGAGGAGCCCGGCCCCCCAAGAAGCTGGCCTGGTGCTCCCAGCCAGGGGTTTGGGGTGGGGAGGCGTTCTCCTCCTGGACATAAACCATCTCACAGACACCAAGCTCGGGCAAGGCCCCTGGAGAGGCGGTGGGAGGAGGCAAAGCAAGGCCACTTCACACCTCCGTCTCAGCACAGAGAGAAGCAAGGTCGCCGAGCCGCCCGCAGAATACCAAGCAGCCCCTCTCTTGGCTACCATGAGGGTCAGCTGCTCCTTTCCCGGTTGCAGCTTCGTCTTCACTCTCCTCTGCAGAAAAGGTTCACTGAGATGATGCATCATAGAAACTCACGCTCTGAGACAGAATCCAGTCTGTCTACAGAGAGCCCTGCCTCCTTAGACACACTCCCTAGCCTCCCACCCAAGCCCACATCAGGTCACACTTAGACGCCTCCAGGCTCCCTAAGGCACATGTGATACCCTTGACTTGTTAACTACGGGTTGGATCCCTCTGGCCAAGGGCACTGACAGGCCAGCGGTGTGGCTCCGGACTCACCCGGAAGTTAGAGGACCAAAGAGGGGCACTCAGTGATGGGAGGGTGAGCATCCTGGGCAGAGGCCCCGCCCACCGGGGAGATGGACGCGCAGGCATCTCGGCCACGTGGTATTCTGCGATCTGGCAACACCTTACCGGGGACCTCCAGAGTTTGGCGGTGTTGGGAGTCCCCTAGAGATATTTGGGACCTGAGGGCAAGTGGGTGGGCTCCGTGGCTCGTGGGGACAGCTGTCCATCCCAGGGCACTCTGTGCCAAGCTGCTCCTGTCCTTCCACAGTTCAGACCCCTGGAGCCGGAGGGCTGCATCTTGAAACCACTCTTCTCCTTTCTACTGGTCTAGGCTCACAACTGACCTGTCCTCCTGCAGGCTTCCGAGCATGGGAGGTGGGGGGGTTTGCTGGTGGCTTAGGAAGGAGGAAGGGTTTGCTGGAAGGAGGATTTGTGGGGTGACATGGGTGAGAATGAGGGGGACCGGGGAGAGGAAGAGGAGGCCTCCCCTGCAAAAGCTTAGCTGGACAGGGTGGGGTCTCTCTGTGGGAAGCACCTGTCCCCTCCTGCTTCTGACTGTGCGTTCTAGAAAGTGTGAGAGGAACCCAGCAGCTCAGAGCTGGGGTCCAAACTGAAGTCCAGTCAGTTGGGGCCCTGTGGATTTCAGCGACCACGGGCTGGCGGGGCAGATTGGCACTAACGTGCCTGCAAAGGAGGGATTCCCACTGTTCGCGGTTTTTCATTTTACCGCCTGGAAACTGAAGGCTCAGGGAGGCCGGAGACCGCCCAGGGTCACACCGCAGATTCTCAGAGGAGCCAGGGGTCCCTTCTTCCGCCTCCTTCCAGGGGCTTCCTACAGGTGTGGGAGCTCCTCACCCCCACCCCAACCTCCATCGCCCCCCCCAGACCTGGGCTGATCCCTGGTGGGGACACACCAGAGGACCCCAGGCTGGGTTCTACCTTTTCTACAGCTGAGCAAGGGCAGCCCCCAGAGCTGCTGTCTTCAGGATAAACCCAGCACCACGGCTTAGGCCGGAGATGCCAAAGGCGCAGACAGATTGATCTCCCCCCTCCCCCAAGCAGTTCCTGTCTGCTTGCTGCCCACGTTTCCACAAGTCCCCAGGCCTGGGGGAGACCCCTAATTGTGAGTGACAGTGGCGCACGGTTCCCCAGGGGCGGCCCCTCTCTGGGGGAAGGTCAAGATCTCTTGCAAGCCCCTCACTGCCCACCGCCCTCTTCCCTCTCAGTCGCCTCTCTCCCGCGCCCCCATCCTGCCGGGTGATCCCCGGTGCCGACGAAGTCTGCTCTGCATCCAGGCCCACCTCCCCTAACCCCTCCCCTCAGCTCCCCGCCCCACCCCGCACCCCCGCGCCGGGCAGAATGGAGCTGTGCCGCCCCCCACCCCGTCACCGAGCCTCGCCATTCCCCCGGCCCAGGCCCCCGGCCCCGCAGCGCCCCGCTCCCCGCCCCCGCTCCCGCCCCCGCCGGTCCTGACGCCAGGAGCAGGGCGGTGCGTCAGCCGGTGACTCAAACCTAGCGCACTTCATTTATTCAGTAGCTCTGGGCCTGAAAAACACCGGCTAAATTGCATCCCATTTTCCCCAGGCCCATTAGCAAGCAGCAGCCTCATTCTCAGTAATTCCGCTGAACCATCCTGGGCGGGCGGCGAGGGGGCTTTGTTCCGCTGCCGCCCCCGCCCCTGGAGAAAAGCACAAACTTTGCGAAGCCGGGTACAATTGGCTGCCTGAGTCACTGGTCAGAGGGTGGGACACCAGGGGCCCCAGACCACCCCCTGCCAGCGCCCCCACCCCTGCCCACTCGGTCCTGTTCTGGCTTTTTCTCTGCCTTTAATGGCATTACCTCTGGGTGTGCCCACCGCATTCCCCTCAAAACCCACCTCCCTGGGTCCCCAAGTTGGGTTTTTCCCCGGGGGTCCCCACAGCCTCGTGGCCCTGACCACCAGCTGCCAGGGGTCCGGGTGTCTGTTGGAACAGTAACAGCCAGCACCTTCGTTTCTGGAGGGTTTGCCATCCCTTCAGGGGCTCTGCCTGGCTCCCCTGCACCAGTTCCACCACTGTTGCCTCCCCAGGGGATCCTGACTTGGAGTAGCACCCTCTCTTCCTCCTGCTGGTTCCAGGACCTCCGGCAGATGGGTTCCCACCCCGAAGCTGACATCCTTCCAGCTGAAAATGGGAGACATGGTATTAGAAACTGTCGGACAGGAGGCAGGAGCATTCCTGGAAATAAAAGATGGAAACGCACTTGTAATCAGGCAACTTCCTGGGCCCTGGGGGGGGGGGGGGTGCAATCTGGGGTCTCTGGCTCATCCTGCTGTGCTGAGGGTATTGGCTGGTGGCCACTTCTCCTGGACACTGAGAGTGGATCCCCAGTCCCATTAACTGCCTCAGGCCTCTTGGGGTCTCACTCTTTTTGTCTCCAGGCCTTGTACTTGGCTAAGGAGAGACTGGGCACCGCTGGCTGTCTGTCCAAAGCCTGGGGTGTTCGGAAACCGCTGGTTCAGTGGAAACTGCATGAAAAATGAACATACACTGATTACTGTTGTCCTGTTACAGGTTACAAAGTGCCAGGTGGCTAGGAAAGGCCACCGAGGCCCCAGGGAGGCTCCTTTTGTGGCAGACCCAGGCGTGTGGAGTCCCAGGCATGGAAGGTGTAGGAGGGAGCCATACAGACAGCACATTTCAACCTGGGAGAGCTCCCCAGGGACCCACTCTGCTGTGCACACGCGAGGCGGGAAAGCTGGACCCCCACGGCTGTCGGGGCTTGAGGGGGACCGTTGGAGTGAGCTGCCATGGCAGAGGGGTCTGCACCATCTCTGTACCCCAAACCAGGGAAAAGGAAGCCTTAGTAAAACCCAGACCCGTGACCCCTTCTCCCTCCTTGCGCGTATGGAGCAGCCACCAACCCCCTTCCTCCTGGACCGGCCTCAGGAAAATAGCAGCAGGAGGATGATGTCAAATGGAAGATGACCACAGACAAACAACAGCCCCACCGACCCAGCCAAGACTCAGCAGGAAGGGGCCCTGGGCCCCCGTGCACTGGGAACCCCTGCGCCGGTAATCGTCCATGGCCCTTCTGGGGGCTCCGTCTGCGTCTTCCTCTTCTGTGGGGGAGAGGCTGTGCACAGTGGCTATGCCCCAAGCTCAAGGTGGCCTGTTCCATGCACCCAGCATCCCCCGTGTCTGCACCAGGTGTGGTGGGGGGCGGGGGGTGGTCGGGAAGCGGAGGAGGCTGGCAGAGAGACCTTGGAGTGAGGGGGCGCCAGCTATCCATGTGACGCTGCGCCAGGCATGGCGTCAGGTCTCTCTCCAGAAAACCCAGGTCATCCAGTAAGGAAATGGGAACTCAGAGGGTTTGAGTGGCTTCCCTAAGGTCACACAGCACTTTCAGGCAGAGCTGGGCTGATGGCTTAGGTGCTGGAGGGTGTGATGCTTGCAGCGTGAATGACACTTTCATTCCTCTCCCTGTGTTCAGGAATGAAGGGTTAGAGCCCGGGTGGGGAGTGAAGCACCTTTAAGCCATCAGCCCCCTGCCCTCCCAACCCCCAGCCTCCTGTCCCGGTCCTGGGGACTGGAAATGTAATTGGATTCTGGAAAACAAGCTTTCTTCCTGTAACAAAACTTGCTTGTCTTCTTTTGAGTAGGGAGTCACCCTAGCCGGGCTTCATCAGCTGTTCGGCCAAAGGAGGGGCGTGTCTGCTGAGCGGTCCTCGGAGGGAGAACTTGCCCCCTGGGACCCTGGGAAGCAAATGAGCGTGGCCATTAGGGGAACTGGGTGTGAGCGGAATTGACCACCCGCCTTGGAGAAGAGAGGGCTTATCGCCAGGAGGCCAGAGTGGGGTCAGCTTCATTAGCGACCAGCAGGGATGAGAGTCCCGGGACTCAGCAGCATCAGGGAGACCCTCGGCAGCTGCACAGGGGGTCAGTTGCTTTAGGCTCAGAAGGAACTAGCAAGGAGCCATACTTCAGAGAGGACGGGGTCCACTCTGACCCCAGATCTTGCTCCTAGCCCACCTCCTCATCCAGTGTGCTCACTTGCCGCTAATGCCCGTCACTCATCCCTATCTCTGGCAGCAGACGTTTCTGCTTCCTGACTCCCTTGGCCCCTTTGCCCCCGTCCAGATTTCCTGACCTTGGCAGACACATGGGAAGCCCCCTCTTCCTCAAGCGCACATCTGCGAGTGTGTGCACGTGCACATGGCGGGATCCGCCATCACTCACTCACGTCCACACACATTCCTCAGCCCTCTGACCGTCCGCGGTGGGGGTTGCGGGATGAAAGGACAGAGTGCCGTGTCACGGGGTGACTTGCTGAGGTTTGGGGGTCCGCCAGATCAGGGGTTCCCTCAGTAGCCAGGACCAGCGCAGCCTGAGTCACAGCGCTGACCTCTGGGAAGCGTTGCCTGGATCTGTCTGTCTTGTCCTCTGACCCCGGGCTCTTTGACATGAGGTCCATGTGAGGGTTCCCAAGCCCAGGGGCTTTCCATCCTGTCCCTGATTCTCTGGCTTCTCCCCAGGGCCAAGCCGTGTGCTGAGTTCTGGTCGTGTCCCCCAGCATATAACTCTATGCCCCTGGCTTG